CGCAAGAAATCGGCCCCGAAATGTACTTCTCCACTCCTTAATCCCCCCTCAGTGAAGGTGCAGGTCTGCGTGCTTTTGTACATTTCCTTTGATGGTGGCTGATGGCCATTGAGTAGCTTTCGGAGAGCCCTGGCCTTTAAGCAGCTTGAGCTGGGTTTTGTGTGCAGCTCTTAAACTGAAGAAAGAGAAAAAGAGAGGGGCCCAGCAGTGGGAGGGAGTCAGTCTTTACTCCATGCCCTCAGTACAGTCCATATTCCCCCTAGTGCACCCCATCTGTCTGTGACAATAATGTTGACGAGGGCAGGTTCCTGGTTTCTGGTATGTAAACGTTGCCACTGGGAACTGTGCGTTATACATCAGCGGCGGTATAAATTTGTAGTCTTAGTATATTCTCTCCTGCTCTTGTTTCCTTCCTCTCCTGGGTTGTTCAATTGTTCAGAGATTGCAGAAAAAGAGGCCAAAACCAGCATTTTATGGATTTCTTGCTCAGCCTATTGGGACTTTATAATGTGTCCTTTTTAGAAAAGATGAAAGAAAAATTTGATTATAGTAATGCCACTTTTGATTGACTTACACGTAATTGACTCTGCAGCACATCTTTTCATGTAACTGTGATTCAGCAGTTCCCAACCGTTTTGGCTTGATTAATAAATCAACAGCAAAATAATGAAAATAAAAGCTATTTACAAGCAAAAATACCAAACATGAATTACTTCCTGAATATTATCTGTAAGTATTGTCTGCTTTTCTCTGTTTTATGTCACTGTAAACTTAATGCCTTTGAGTTTTGGCCTCTTGGGAGTGGACAGGTCTTTTTCACTATGTTCTGAGATTTTACAGATTACACGATTAATTGTTAATGAAAAGGATTGTTTGTTGCAGCCCTGCTTCACCAATTGCTTCATTTTGAAGGCTTTATAGATGCTTGAAGAGGTATCCAGGGTTTCACTCTTCTGTGGAGGGTGGGAGGTCCTTGGTTAGGATCCACTGCTATACATCGTAAAATGACGATGCAGCCACTATTGTAGGAAACCAGCCGAACAGTTTGCATGCTGTATTGTTTGAATCATGGTTGTTTTACTAGGAGCTCTTTATCTCCCCCTGCTGGTCAAATACGGAAGTAGAAGAATTTAAAAACCCATAAAAAGATGCTTAGAAAATTAAATTGGTTGAGCAGTGATTAGAGTGTTAGAGTGAGCAGTGTTTAAAGGCTTTTATACTTTATGACGCCTTATGTTCATCCATTTGTGCAACCGGGCCCTTGAACATGGATCCCTCCCTCCATTCAAACAGTCAGCAACCCCCCACCCCCTTCTGCCTGGCTGCTCCCTCTGTTGGTCATCAATAATACTACTGCTGCTCCCTTACCCCCTGTTAGCCCCCCTCTACCCCCCTGTCTGCTACACACTGGGACATTACCATTTGGTGAGACTGACTGGCTTTGGTGAGGGAGACGGCGGGGGTCCGGCAGGGGGTACTCCTGCGCTCAAGACTCCCTTTTTGCATCGACCGAGCTGCTGGATCTCTTTGTTATCGTAGAACCCACGTGCCGTTGCTGGAGAAACGGGAGATTGGCTCAATCTCAGAATCTGCATGGATAAGCTCGCCGGGTTGAGCTTTTGACCTTGCAAGAAAATTGAGACGCACACCATATGTGTCTGCATGATGACTATATGTAAAGCCTACGTCATATGTTATGTAATACAAGGTTAATCTAAAGCACAGCGTCAATCTGGACTGATATCGTTGCAGTATTTGACTGCAGGGAGGTCGCAGACGGATTTGAGGGAGCAGTGAGACATTTTGCGGTGGAGGTTTGAGTTCATTATGTACCTCAAAGCCTCCTGGACTGGATTATTGACAGCAGCAGTACACTCATCTCAACAGCAGGTGTCACCAACAAGCAAACAAACGGCACAAGCTATCAGCAACACATGGGAGGGCCTGTTTTTAGCTATCAATAAGTCGATTCCACTGATCAGGGGTGTGAAGGTGATATGTTAGGATTCTGACTTGCTTATTTTCCTGCTACGCCTTTAGGTGTCATCCCTAAATTTCTGTCAAGTGTGTCTTCACATCATGTGTAATGGACAATATGCATGCATAAAAACGGCTTGGGTGCATTCAGACGTCTCTGAGGGATGGCGCATCCTCCAGAAGGTCGTGACCTCTGGCCTGGGGGTCACAGAAACCACTTAACAGCTGTCCACACAATAACTGCAGAGTTTTCCTCTCAGAAATAAAGCAACGGCCCCCTCATAACGTTTCTTCCTCACGCCATTTTTAAGGAGCTGGTCAGAATATTTGTGGAAACTGAAGGACAGATTTCGTGCTGCTCTGCATCAAAGCTTCCCCTGAACTGTTAAACCTGTTGAGGATAATTTCCTTTCAGCTCTGACACCTGGTTCAACACTTTTCTGACGTTTTCACACTGGCAGAAGAGAGGAAGAGGAAACAATAACGGTGACAATTTGCCGTCATGTGTCACAAGCCGAGCCCCCTTTGAATCTGCCCCACTTCACCTCCTTTGTCATTCAGATAACCTCATGAATATTTCACTCCCCAGATCTGACGGCTGGAAGAAGGGAGGGAGAGAAAGAGGGGCTGGAGCAGAGGGAGACATGAAAGAGTCATATAATCTTCAACGTGGCGCGGTTGTAGCCCGAGTAATGACCTGTGTGGCGACGGACAAGGCTCGGGCCTGTGTGTAATTGGACTGTGAGACGGCATGTCTCGTCACAACCTAAAAAAAAACACAGGCACAGTCAGTGTGTATTCTGCTGGACCTCAATAAGTCTTTTTTTCCTGCCTTTTGAGATGAAATCTTTAAGCAAAACAGCGTGAAAGAAATCCCAACGCAAACTAATTACACATGTCAAGTGACACAGTCACCTTGCTGTGCAGACCAGCCTGCTTGTTTGCCATTACTCTGTAGCCACAGCCTGACTGTAGCCTCTGGGCCGAACTAGTGGGTGAAAGGTAAAGCTAATGAGGCGAGTGGAGGAAATACTCCTAACCTATGAATGCACTCCGACAAAGGCCAGTAAAGAAACACAGGAAATGAAGGTGCTCTTGACGTGGCCTTCTCCTTTTTTGAAGTGCTTGTAGAGCACATTAGCTCACCAATAGTGAGAACTGTGCACTCAAAAGGCAAACAGACACATATAATTCCCCCCGACTCGAGTGCTTTCAGTGGAGGAAATAAACATCACCCTCTTCCTCATCATCATCACCACGTCATGACTCCATCATATATCACAGTTTATGTGTGTACTTATGTGTAAATGCCTAGCAGCGTGGCCCCTTTAAGAGCCCAATGTCCTTTTTTTTTCTCCTTTTTTTTTGAGAATGAGCCCAGGACTCGGAGCTCTGTGTGTGCTGACCGTGGCCTCTGGGTTGGTCACCAGGGGAAAGCTGCAGGAGAGGAATGGCTAACTGACTCTAGCCTCCCCAGCCCCCGTTTAGACCAAACGGCAGCCTCGCCGCGCCGCATGCCCTTATCTACCAATGGAATGCAACAGCTGTGCGGGGGAGCGTCAGGGTGGGCTGGCTGAAACCCCCCTGCCAGACCCCCGCACAGCTCTCCCCCCACCTCCAAGCGACGTGCCGGGCTCCTGAAAGGCAGCTCAACTAAAAAGTGAGCTAGACACAGTGAGAGACTCGGCAGGGCTGCTACACATTCAAAATAGAGTCAGAGGGAGGGAAGAGAGAGAGAG